TTTTGAACTTTTCGCTCGGTTTTCGCATTTGTTGGTGAAAGTGGAAACATTGTTCAACTGAATGCACATGTGGTAATTAGAGATAATTTTTAATTGCTGCCAAATGAAGATTTATGTTGGAATGAATTTAAGATTTTGGCAATTTGATAAAAATTTGGTTTGTTCCTTGGTGGATGTTTTCGGTTGAATGCCAACTTATTTTTAGTTCGATTACTAACAAACAATAATTTTAAAATTTATTTTTAAATTATTTTATACATATAAAATTAATTGTAATTACTCAGGAATCATATCAATTTTCAACTTATTAATTTGAGGTTTATTTTTTCCTTTAGAGTTTTGAGCAAAGTACAGTTATTCGGTGAAAATAGTATCTCACTATTTATATTTACACGAGGTGCTTATCAAGAAAAGTACGAATTTATAAGACTGTTTCAAAATTTATTTGATATTTTGTTATGAAATTAAATACATTTGCTTTATAATGAATATTTATTGCAAATAGCAATCGTTAAGCTCGATAGATTTAATCTCTCATCTCAGCGGATCGGAAAATAGCATCCTCACTTTAAGCTCCATAAATTTTTTAGCATCTTGTTGCAAAATTTTCACATTTTCTTTAGTCATAAGGTTTGACAAAGCATATTTCTTTAGATGTTTCACTCATTTTCAAATCAATATAAATTTTCATATAATCAATTTTGACATAATCGAATTAGTGTTGCCAGATATATGGGTACCAACACCATCTAGAGATATTTAAATTAAAATATTTTCTATAAATCATTTTATTATTGTCCAAATGGAAGATATGAGGTGTTTAATGTCTTTAGTATTCGAATATTTGCAGTTTCATTTAACAGGACTACAGTTGATAGATATTCGTGATTGTTCATTCTTCCAATTTATTTAAAACTACATCATTTTAGATAAATCTACATGTATCTACATATAGGACACATCTTATCTTTATAATGCCCAGACTGGAGCCGCATAATTGAACTAAATATATTGGATGGGAAAAGTTGCAGTATTTCTACATTAAAGTTACTAGCTGTGATCACAATAGTATTTTTTATGTTAGAATTATACTGAAGAGATGAATACGATATCATCTGCATATGTTGCAACCAACACATTTTTGGAGATGGGAATATTATATGTGAGGATATCGTACAGAATAGGATCCAAAATACTGTAATCCTGTTCAATGTTTGTTTTAAAAGAGAATACTTTAATTATAATTAATTATATTAATTGAATTATATTAACTCAGAATAACCTCTAAACCGAATATGATCTGAGCATAAGATATGATGATATTGGAAGAAGTTCTATGAGTAGTCCATACTCTACATAAAAACACCGCAGAGAAATATTTTCATATTTTTATTCTTTAAAAGCTTAGGGTCTTTAGCGTCAATATTTTCATTCCCAGTTATTAGCAATAAACGGCACAAAGATATTCTTTCGAATATTCTTGAGAAACATACCAGTGAGCAAATAGGATTATATTAAATCAAATCTTTCTCATTATATTAAGTCACCTCAGTTATATCGGCATACTTTCTGAATTGAATTTATGCCATTTACTTAAAAAAAATAGTTAGCATTGTTTATCTAAATTTTTAAGGTTTAATTTTCAAATAACAAAATAACTAAATGTTTTTGTAAAATTCAAAATATTTGGAATGACAACAAAATTTGGCAGATAGTACTTTGAATTGTATGTGCTTAAAACAAACCTAAAAACGTTGTTTGCTTCTCTAAGCACAGAAGAATTGAAAAGGTGTTGTTCGATTCTATGATGCGAAAGAAACTTTAAACAATGTCAAGAGATATTTCTTGCAAAAATGCAAACAATTTTTCAGAGAACCCACACATTGGGCCAGCAAGTAGCGAATTATATTTTGACTGCTCTAGTGAAGATGGGACGGATGCTGCAAACGTAAAAACTGTCAAAAAATTTTTTGAAAATTTGTCCCAGTCCAAGAGCTCTTCTGAGAGTAATTATCTATGGAACATGGTTGGTTTAACACAGAAAGTGCTTAATCCTCAAAATTCTGATGGCCAAGTTGGAATGCTTATAAATTTTTACGAAGAACTACAAAAAGTGGCTGACTTAACACAAAATCTCGTAAGATCTTATGAAAAACCAGGAATGAAAAAATCGGACACTTTTTCTGATAGATACAAAAGAGGTCATTCAATTAGTCATTCAGCAATTAGAAGAAAACCAACGCTGATACCCACATTAAGGCCATACAAAAAAAACTTATATCGACGTGCAAGTAGTACGTTGTTCTCTCCGTTGAGTAGGGGAGCGCGCAAAATATCACCTGGTTTCCATAGCTCCCATGCACTGCCTGTTGATTCAAATGGTATTGTCGTCAACCCAATATCAGTTATGGTACCTGTTGATGTAAAAAGTGGTGGGATAACACGCATAGAACGCAACAAGAAGTCTACTGGATTTGGTTCCAGCAAATTTAAATGATATTATTAAGTTAAAATATGCGATCCTTATAACCAGTACTTGAGAAATAGTACTGTCATGAAGCAAATGCAAGATATCTTATATTAATTGTGCTATTAAGAGAAACAAACAAAAAAAATTAAATAAATATGCACTACAAGTTAAAAGTCATACAAACTTTATTGTTTTTTTTTATTAAACTGTTCCTTAACGAACTTGTAGAGCCGTGTATTAATCGGAATTCCGTATGCAGATCGAGTACAACAGTTGTCCGAATTTTCTGATCTTACTTAATCTTTAAATAATAATTTAAACTATTTCAGCAGAAATTAAAAAAATCAATATAAAATAGCAACATGTTATTACTACCAAATGTTTTTTATTTTTTCTTTACTGTAGTCCTCTTCTCCTTGTAGAGCATTGGGCCTCCTACCAAATCAGATCACTAAAAATACGAAACCATTATTTGAGTTTGATTATGTATAATTGATGCAACTGCAACGATTTCTAAATATCAACCTCGCTTTTTGCATTTATCATCATTCGGCATTTTTGGCATAATATCTGGTGTAACATTTAATATTCGATCGTAGATACTTTAAATGAAACCTTTCGAGGTATAACGTTTAATCACCTGGTTAAACCATTTCATCTGACTATTACTTGGGTTTTATACTCGTTAATTCAGTTAAACAGATTTTTAGGGGATTTCTATATATCGTTTTCTTGTTCAAGCGGTAACTGCAATATCATATCATTTTGTTTTATCCAATACTGTAATTTCTTACTAACCAATAGCTATTTATTAGTGACTAATCATTTGATAGCTTTCCTGTTCTTCAAAACATTTTTGGTGATAATATGATATAAAGTAATTGCTTTAATTATTTTCTAAATATCTACATTGATAAAGATTTGTTATTCTCATTAAGTTACTGTTGGGAAATAGTAATACCAATTCTTATAATTGATGTATCACAAAAACATTCTGTTGTAATAACTGTTTGCAGACTTTAGTTTCGGATCCGATTTAATTTTAAAAATAATATTTATCAAATGATAAAGTATAGATAATAAAACTGATATTATTAAGCTTAAACAAAAAATTATATTAGTTAAGACACATAACCTCAAAGACCAAAATATTTTAAGAGGTTCTTTGAAATATCCTTTTTTGTTTTCGCGGAATTTTGCAGAGATTTATAATTATATTTAAATTATTTAAAATAATATTAAAAATAATCAAAATACTTTGTTGCTAATTCCATTAAATAAGTAAGTTAGTAATTCTATTAAATATATTTCACTAGGTAATTTCAGTTTTCTTAAAAAATCAATTTTTCATTAATAGATATCTGAAACAGATGAAATTTTTGTACCTTTGAACTGAAGAGAATGAGTAAAAAACCTTTTTTTTTGTCAAAAATTTGATAAAAGATATATTCGATTGTATAGTATGGAATGACTGTTACCCATTTTCAATGTCACCCAATATATAATATAGCAAATTGATTAGTATGTGCAGCAGCAACAGCATTAAGAAAACAAGAGCATAAGTGCGGACTATTGAAAATAGGAAGAATGTGCAGTTCCGTGAAAAAAAAACCCAATTCCTTTTATTATTAAAGAAGCACCTGAGAAAGAATATATTAAAATATATATCATATAAGAACAAGACATAAAATTGTGATATAGGAGTATAACCACTGTAAATTTACTTTAATATAAAAGAAAAATAAATGAAGACCAAACGGATAGCTTTACCCGGAACTATTGCAAATAACAAGTAAACCTACGTTACTGACAGGAAGGCTGCTATTGGGAATGATAATGCGGAAGATGATGCTAAAAATGTCTTTTATTTGTGTTTCTGTTGAAAAAAAGTAAGATAATTGTATATTTATATACAGAATATTGAAATAACAACTTATTTTGAGATATCCAAATTTTTATAACAGAGGTTGAAGCTTCTGTTATATCATTTATGCTTAACTTAAAATTTTTGAGGAACCACTCTACTTGTAGACTATTGTATATTTTTAAACTCATCATATTATTGTAAATAAAAATTATATTATATATATTGAAATGATGTTGGAAGTGAAAAGTTATTAGCCAGAATCTTAAGAGCAGTTGATTAAACGTTATTCATTTGATCCCTCTGTTCAAATGTCGATTAATTAATCCATCAACTTTTGTTGATTAAAATTTATTTAGGTCTAACATAACGTAAATTTATATTTTTGTTATAACAAGACATACCCGAATGCTCCTCACTACAGTGACAATGGAAAAGTAAGTTCTAAATTGATTCAACTGAATTCACAGGTTATTCATAAAAACAATCAAGCTTTTAGGTATTTCAATGAGCTCCACAAAACTATTTGCAATGTCAGAATTGTAAATTTGATCTGAAGTTAAAACTCTCACTCATATATAAATTTTATTCGATAAATCAAGTTAGTTTTGAGAATCACTTAAATGAAAAATTTCAAATTATTTTAATTTAGAATTTAAGTATTGAAAGTATTTAAGTATTTAGGTATTGAAAACCTACCAATTTTGTCATCTCCGACCAAGGACACCTATGTTCCAAATTAGAATTCAGCTTTCAAGTATGTCAACATCTTTTGTTTTTTAACTTTTGACTGCTATTATGCCACAGAAAAAGAAATGCGTCAACGCAACATGTCAGTATATGAAAAAATTTGAAAGAGGAGACTCAATTCAATTAGGTGGCAAAAAATCGAATACCATGCAGAGTAACCATGACATGCTCCTTGAGCAAAATACAGAATCATTCTCGCCACATAAATGTTGTGCGTCAACGCCATGTAAGCAGGAGCAACCGCAACCAAAGCGCAAATTTAACTGCAAGAAAATTTGCGTATCGAAAGATCCTAACATGGTTGCAGAACTATGCCCTGACACAAAGTTTAAATCAGAGTCAACTGATAATTTCCATGATTGTGCGAGTGATATGGATTGTGATAATACTAAAGATATGATAAAGGAGGGTTTAAATAAATTAGCCAATATATGCTCGCCTGAAATAACCTGTAATGAATTACGGTCTAAATTGGATAATTTTGCACAAATGTTGAACACTTTAGAGGATCCAACTGATTTCTATGAAGGTTTACTAAAACTCACGAAGCTAACGGAAGAACTTTTCAAAGCTTTTGATATATCTTACCAGACAACTAGTAAAGTTGAGTCATGTCCAAAAAAACAAAAAGAGTGCAAACATAAGCGAACAAAACTACCTCCAAATGATAAAATGTGCGGTACTTGCAGTCAGAAACGCGCGATGGCAAAACCCGTTATGCAATGCTGTGAGCGACATAAAGGCAACAAGTCTTGTAAGACAGAAAAAAAGCCGCCAAAGTGTAAGCCCAAAAATATTTGCCCTTCATGTGGTCAAGACACGGCATATGTAAAGCCCGGCGATCATGGCTGTGAGACAAAAAAACCTGAAAACAGTTGCGAGTCGAAAAAAGAAAAGGAGAAACCCAAGCGGAGTTGCGGGCAAAAGGAAACTAAAAAATGTGGTCACCCCGAGAAAGCGGAATCCGAAGCTAAACAGTGCTGTCCGCGGCCCAAACCACATAACACCTGTACAGCACGAAAGGATCAAGAGAAAAGCAAAAATTGCTGTCAGTTGAAGAAAGCAGCATCACAATCGAATTGTGAGCAAACCAAACCTAAAAAGTGTGGTCAGCCCGAGAAAGCAGAATCCGAACCTAAACAGTGCTGTCAGCGGCCCAAACCACAAAAGACCTGTAAAGCACAAAAGGATCAAGATAAAAGCGGGAATTGCAGTCAATTGAAGAAAGCAGCATCACAATCAAGTTGTGAGCAAACCAAACCTAAAAAGTGTGGTCAGCCCGAGGAAGCTGAACCTAAACCTAAAAATTGTTGTCAGCGGAACAAACCACAAACAACCTGTGCTTCCAAAAAACCAAAATCATCATGTGAAGATGCATCCATCAAGAATTCACCATGTTCAGCAACAAAATCACAACAAGCATGCTCAAGTCCCCAAGATCAAGACGCATTTGAATATCCTCAAACATTGACAAAATGTAAACCTTTTTGTAAGAATAAATGTTCAAGGCAACCAAAATGCGCAGGAAAACAAATAGGAAAACTAAATAAACAAAAGGAAAACAATCGAACCGGTGGACAATGTTGTCAATCAAGAACTGAACATACGCAACAGGCTGAGGGAAAATGTCAAAAAGCCAATCAATCTGTTCAAAGTTGCGAGTCACAAAAATCTAAAAAGTCTTGCGGTGCAGAGCGACAACCCATTTGTTTAAAAAAACAAAAAATGCAAAACGTGGTTCAGAATGGAAAAGCATATTTAATAGACCCAATTTCAGTATTGGTACCAATTAGAATCAAAAGAAAGGTAGCTAAGAAGCCTACCTGTGAAAAAAATGACTGCGACTCTGTACAATCCGAGCCTAAATCAGAATGTGAAACGGACACGGAACCAGAACCAGAACCTCCTTGCATGCCAGAACCTGTAATTGAGGTCGAAGATGAATGTGAACCAGGCCCAGTTCGTTGTCCTGGTGGTGATACGGTCATGAAACACAAGTTAAGAAAACTTAAAAGGCGCAGGTCTCCCAATGAACCAGAAATGGATACCGTACATTTAGCTTCAGAAACAACTATTTTCTCTTTTGAAGAAAGTAGATCGTCTTTCTCCACGCAAAACGATGACACAGAATATCTGATAAAGGAAATTTACTATGATGATAATGAATCCTTTACAAAATACATATCCTAAATACAAATTAAATTGAAAAATTACCTGTAATAGTTTAAGATAAGCTGAATTCTAATTTTGAACATATGGTAGTCATGAAATAAATTTTTTTCAATTACATAGAATAAAAACGCGTATAAATTTGCACAGTTTTCATATAAATATCAGTAATAGTCAGTAATAGTCGTGAAAGGATAAAAAGCTAGTTTATATGAGAATCTACTCTATATATTCTACGAAATCAGAAGAATGATTCATTGATTATTGCCACCACAAAAATTATTTACAGATAATCATTCCATTAGGTTGATTGATTTAAATATGATTAGCTTCCATGTAACAGAAACTCTACTAAGTCCTCAAGATATCAGAAAGCATTTCCTTTCAAGAAAATTTAAATTAAAATTTAAATTAATATTAACTAATTAATAATTAGGTTGATTTTCAGTTACTTTTTTTTGGCCCATTCCTGCGACAGTAAATTGATATGCCTAAGAACATGTTTCTTAAATTAATACAGTCAAATCGCGATAATTCGTACCCCATCCCTTGAAAAAACCTCGTTAATTCATAAAATTTCCATTAATTTTGGTCCCCTCATTAATTCGTATTTTATTTGAAATTCAATAAACATTAAACCTCTTATAATTCGTAATGCAGAACAATAAATCTGTATGCAAGTTTAAGGTGCTTGAAGAACATTTGCAGTTTTCCAATGCTTTACCGACACAATAAGAAGACGTGGATGATAATGGAGCTATGGCTTCGGATGCTAAATGATGGCATGAAAACTAAAAATCGAAAGATAGTATTATTTATGGATAATTGTGTAGCATATAATGGGTTCCTTAAGTCTAAGCCACGTAAAAATTCATTTTCTTCCAGTAAAAAGACCACTTCCAAGACCACTTTTACTTTTCCTTGTGGTAAAGTAAAAATTTTAAATTACTTTACCACAAGGATATGGTAAATGTACGCTATATATTTAAAGCAATGTAAATTGTTTATGAAGCGTAGAATAGTGCCAGCAAACCTTGATTCAAAGCTGCTTTCGGGCTTGTGGTTTCAATAAAGATTTAAACGAAAATTTATGTCAAGTTGAACAATTCAACATAGATTATCTATGGGATCGTATATGGTAAGTGAGAACTTTGAAAATGTCACCCTTCTCGATGAATACGTCAACATTGATAATGACGTGGCTGTATCTGGTATGTTAACAGAAAACAGTATTTTGGAAGAAGTTGCGGCTATTAATAATGAGAGCGATTAGGATGCTAGCGCCATTGAGTATCAACTTATAGCATATAAACAAGCTAAATTGGCCATTCAAATTTAGCTTGTTCATGATGTTCAAAAAAAAGTTTTTGATTGTTTATTAAGTTTGGAAAAATCAATTGAAGAGATAGGCTATAACTCAATATATTTCTCCATAAAATTTTTTATTTTTATATTTTTATTAAATTATTAGTAAGTAGGATGTAAATACATATGTGAATTGGATTATTTGGTTATAATAAAGTAAAATGAAGTATAAAGTATGTGAAAATCAACTGAAATGTAAAAGCCCCGTTAATTTTTTAACTTTGTTAAATCGGAACCGCAATAATTTGAAACCCCCCTAATTCGTAAAAAATGCTGTTCCCTTGCGATTTGGAATCATCAGGATTCGTCTGTATATATATGAAAGTTGGTCAATACTGATTAAATAAAGTTAATTATGATTTAAAAACCTGATCTTCTATAAAATTGCTTCCAAGTTTTGGAATTTGAATTTAAGAGAATGAAGGATATTGTTTATGGTAGTTAAAAAATTAACTTTATCTAAAAATATCTAAAAAAAAGTATCAAAAATTGGAATAATGTCATTAAGTCCTTTAGGAAAAAATTAGTATGTACAATGTAGCAAATATCCATTTTAAACAAATCCTATTTTTCAAACAACATTTGTACGAATACACTAATTTTCTGTTATGATGTACTAATATGATTGCAGTACTTAATGTAAACAAACTCAGCCAGTTAATATCACATTAATCCTCTTCAGCTGATGGATCTGTTGCTGCTTACTAACTAATACTTATCATAGCAAGTTATTTACTTTTGTTGGGACTAATCACTTTAAAGTTGTCAATGGCTTATGCAAATATCTAGTATATTGATATATTTATATTATGGATACAGTTTCTCTACTTACTTCGCCTGGTATTTATATAAATTTATTTTTACCATATGTCGCAAAAGTCGAAAAAGCCAGACTTCGTAAATGTAGTCCAGAATATTATAAACTCAACTAAGATAATGAAAATTGGATTTTATTGCACAATAAGTCAAAATCGCACAAAGCCATCGTAGTATGTGAATTACAGACATCCACCGTATTTACATGATTTAAGTTCGAATGACTTCTAGTTATTGACGAAAAAAACTCTCCTCTCTCTCTTGTTTTCAAAACTCTCTTACCTGTATTTTATTATTTTATTATCATTTAACATTTTTAACACTATGTTGCAAGGAATTAGAAATATATAAGAACCTGTCGTACCTGTCATAAAATAGAAGGAAATTCTTAGCTCTAATTCTAAGCTATAAATATTTAAGTTTGGTTTTGGCATTGTATACTGAATTGGGCGGCAGTATTAAATTGCCATATATATGTTTATTAGAAATTTTATGAAAGTGTAAGACTTCATACTGCAGAAAAAATAGCACAGTTTGATCTGATCAATTGAAAATATTTTTATTTGATATATAGTGTAATACCGCTTACATCACACCCTAGCATTTAAATTATGGTATTTGCTTAATTTTGGTGACACCAATTGTTAGGCTATATATGTAAAATATATTTGTGTTTCTATACGAACTGTTAGCCGTGCTTTAATCGTCAAATATATATTTTTTGTACAAATATTCGATACGTTTCTAATATTTATCTATATAACTTTGATCATTTTGGACATACCATGAAATATGTAGGTTTCTAAATTAATAGTTGCAAGATTTGTGTTCAGCAATAGTAATTATCATCACTTCAAATCACCAGCTACATCAGTGCCAGTGATTGCTGTTTGGAACTGTCTAAAATTCAAAGAAGTCATTTTCTTCTCAAAACAATAAATTTTATATTATCATGTCAGATCACAATCAACCACAATGCAATGGCAAACAAAACTCAAATAATGTATTAAAAAACTTGAGCGATTTAGTAGACTTTTATAAAGAACTACAAACTTTTGCAGAACTTACAAAAGATATCTTAAAACAATGCTCAAATATTAACAAATGTAATACTCCTTCAGCCGGTAAAAGTACACAATTGGTAAGCAACTCATCTCCTTGTCATCATCATAATTCCGAACAACAGATACAACGCCCAACTGCGCAAACAGAATTATCGGAAAACTACGAACAAGAAGAAAGTTGCCCTTCGAATAAACGCCAAAAATTAAGTTTACAGTATATAAGCAAACCAGTTAATAATTATGTATCTCGTACACCGCCTTGGCCTGAGAAGCACAAATTGTCTTCACAGTATATAGAATTAGAGATTCCGAGCTATCCGATGTCTAAATATCAGATGCCATCAAAACCAAATGATCAAAATGTAGTAGAAAATACCGATTCAATGAAAGACTGTGAAGATAACACTTCACGATGCTCGGAATATAGTGGTGAACAGCAATATCCAGAAAATGAAGAAGAGTTATGTGTTTGTAAACGTTGCACATTCGAACTAGATGACTCCAGCAATGACAGCGTTTTTAGTGACTGTTGTTCTGATGACAAATGCTGTTATAACAGCAGTAAAGAGAATAATGCCATCGAAAACTTAAATGCAACCGCGAACAGACCTGCGACTCCTGACAATCCAATTCACGAAAAATCAACATCAATGAATAATTATCATGTCAGAAATTCATGTGTTCAATTTATAAATGATGGCACACCAATATGTCCCAAAACATTGACAAGAAGTAGCTCTGAGCAAAATATTCGTAGTTTAGGAACCTCTTCTGCAAAACGAAGCTCTGAACCAAACATTTCTGATCCTACAGGAAAACAGGTTGAAATAAATTTCTTTTTGAAATCAAAGAAGCGTCGTAAATCTTGATCTATGAAAAATATTGAAATATATTTGTGATAGAAGGTAAAGCATGAGTTCAATAATACAATAATTTTAGATATAACTTAAACAATTCTAGAAACATCTGTTAACGAAGACAATAATAATAAGTTTAAGCAAAATAATCGTGAAAAGGATAGACGTCCCATATTCCAATTTTTTTTATTGTAGCAAGTGTGGCTGCAAATAAATCTCATCACAAAGTTTAAAATATAAAAAAAGTTATTTATTACATTATTTATTCATTTTTATCATATAATAGATAATGCAGAGTGGATCAATACTCATATGCAGTGCAAAGTGTTGAAGTTATAACAACAAAAATCTTTTAAAGATATCAATTAAAGCAATGAATGTTATAAAGTAGAAAATAGTTTGGGCCAGAAAATATTGTAATGACCTGAAATAATCATAATGACCTTAAACAACTCTGATTTAGGAGTAATTAAAATCCATCAAATTTTGAAAATATTGTATTCTTGCGATGTATATGTAAATCCCAACAAGTCCAAGAAATAAACAATAAAAACAATCTGAAGAGCAAGTATAGAAAAGCGTTTTGCATTGATCGAAGCTATTACTAATCTGATGGAGCGCAATCTAGTAATAGGGAGCATGAGATACAATTGCTCTTTTAAGTGTCTCCAATTTATTTTTTACTTGCGACAGTTCATTCGTGTATCTATGGTAAATCCCTTCACATTGTTTGTTAGCCGCAATCCGACTTTTTTCGTTCAATGTGTAGTTCAGATCTATCAGTTGTTGGTAACGTTGAGCAATAACAGTTTCGTTTAGTTTTAGGAACTCACTGTATGAAATTATTTTCTGATCCTACCAATATTGCACAAAATAACCTTATTACATTACTCAATAAGTCGTACGACTGACACACAGATGGCGCTACCATTTGTCAAATCCATATGACGTTTATGAAGTACTAACTTTCAAAAGACTATGTGTAAAATTTCATGACATTTCGATTAGTCAGAAAAAAGTGACAGCCATTTAAGTGAAGCTACTTTTGTTATTTTCAAAACAATGGATTGAAAATAATTTCGTGTGTTAATTTATCATTGCTTCTTGATGAAAAAAAATACTGTACAAGCTTAGCAATGGCTTCAAAAGTGTTATCCGGACTCTGCTTTATCGAAAAGAAACATTTGTTATTCGTTTGCTGAATTTAAACGTGGTCGTACAGACACCGATGATGGTGAACGTTCTGATCATCCAATTGAGTTGGTTACTTCAGAAAACATCAAAAAAGTCGTGAGATAGTGAAATAGCTGAGACCGTAAAGACATCAGAAAGCAGTGTGTTTACAATTATGAGAAAGCTCTTTTTAAAGTGGGTGCCGCGTTTACTCACAATCGATCAAAAACAACAACGTGTTTATGATTCAGAACAGTGTTTGGCCATGTTTACACGTATTAAATCAGATTTTTTGCGTCGATATGTGACACCGGATGAAACATGGATTCATCACTTTACTCCGGAATCAAAACGATCATCATCTGAGTGGACTGCAGTCGGTGAACCACAACAGTCAGCTAGGAAGGTCCAGAACGTATTTATCACTGACATTTTGATTAAAAAAGAAATAATCTATGTAAATACTGTCTTGTTGGTACTTGATTTGATAGCTTTACCCATTCATTGATAATTATACATTACATTTCTTAAAAGAGATTTAGTACAAGAGTTACACTATATTGTGAAAAATGCAAAAAGTTATACACCCAATAGATAAAGATTTATACAAAAATAAACCAAACACTTTATGCACTTGCACTCTTAATTATTTGCAATTTAAGTAGAGTTATTTAATTGATGAAATATCTGAACCGTTTAACAATTAATATTCTTCCATAAAGTCATCCTAGTAAGATCCACTCCTAAAAAATGGGTTGATAACAACATTTTTCTTGTATAATTCACTTTAAAATCAAAAGAAAATCTTTAATTTTTGGTCTAACAATCCTTCGTACTTCGTAATCCTTCGTAGTAATTGAAAAATGGAATTTAAGTTACAATCGGCAGTATTTAATGTTGTTAAAAATTTTTAACCAAGTTAAAATGTTAAAAAACTGACATTATGCCCAACAGACGACTAAGTGACCGTGGCTATGTTTATTTAACAATTATGAATAATATATTTTATGCCAGAAATAAAGTTGAGCAATACAATTCTACGTAATACTGGATTCACACGAAAAAAATTTAAGTGTCATCTGAAATCAATCCACACTTTTTAACTTTCACAAAATATTTAATTTGCACAAATGTTATGATAAATAACAGTTTTGTTTCATTTTGCATGAAAATTTCATACATTCCTCAAAACTATTCACAATAACACAAGTTTGTAGTGCACAATAGAGTATTATGGTGAACAATAGTGTACTATGGTTGATTTTGTAGAAATTACCATTTAGTTCTGTTTTTAGTTGTCGAAAGTCTCACACAAATTTTACTAATTTGTATTTGTTTAGCTGTCGAAATCAGAAATAATTTAAAATGAAAGTTAAAAAAACAATCAAAGCCCTCGGTGAATCCAGTATAAAAGTAAATTGCATTCAGTTTGCACTCTGGCGTCAGCTACTACAATCAGTGACTGAAGTTTAATCGTGTGTGGGGCATTAGTCTCAAATTCGGCAATCAACACTGGCAAATACATTCTAATTTGTCAACACGGAATTCATCAATATTCAGATATATTAACATTTTTCGAATAATCGGTTAGCTGAGCTTTAAAAGTCAGCTTGAATAATAATTTACTATATATTTCATTTTAATTTTTTTTTTAACTTTGAATTTGAATTTATCTTAAAATATGTAGGTTTCTAAATTAATATTTGCTATAACTTTACAATAGTTAGGCAGAATAACACCATAACCCACATCACTGTGTGTGATTTCTGTTCGGTACTGTATAAAATTTGCAATAAATATTACCACCTCAAAGTAAGCGATTTTATGTTATCATGGCAGATCACCACCATGCGCACTGTTCCAAAAATTGTAGTAATAGACACTGTGATTCTTCCAGCGAGCATGATATACGACCACAAGATTCAGGGCGAAATATTGAAGAAATATCAGATGGTGTGTTACAAAATTTCGGCGATCTTAGAGAGTTTTATAAACAACTACAGCATTTTGTAGACCTAACTCAGGAATTATTCAGAAATTGTTCGGATAACAGCCAGAGTGATTCACCATCAATAGACAGTATCCCACAAGGAAATGGCAACATATCTCCCTCTTACCATCACAATTGTCCGCATAGGAGACTAAATTCAACAGAACGAGGACAGGCACCGCAAAAATATTACGACACAGAGAAAAGCCACCGGAGACCTTGTTCAGAACAATATGACAGCAGATCAATTACTAGTGGCATGTCTAATTCGATACAATTGCCAAAACAGCAAAAAGATTCTTCACAGAAATTTGTAAGTGCGGATTGTACAAGATATAAAAACAAATCAGCAACATGTGAATTGAGCCAAAATACAGAAAACCAAATAACCCGCAGAGATAATTGTTCAATAAAAGGTAATCGTGATAAGAGCTCAAAATATCCAGAAAAAAGCGACGATTGTGAAAGGCCTTATGAGAGTAATAATATCCAGCGTAAAACACAATACCATAATGGTAAAAATCAGAAAGAAAATAATTCCAATAAATCTTGTACTTGCTCACAGTGTCAAGACTCAAAAAATATGAGTAATAAGATTAATATTTTTATGGAGTTTAGTTCTGATGACGAATGTAATGATGACGATTCCTCATCAACTAATCAATTTCAAAATAGTTGTCCAATGCAAAACAAAACTAAACAAATGTTCGCCCAAGACACAAATATGAGTACAGAACGTAATTGCATACATAACAAAATATTTAATAATGAAAATTATCCATTAGAAACTCTCCATAAACTTCGTTCAGAACGATATAACAATTCAGCTAATAATTGCATGTCTAATACGCAACAATTTCCAAAGTCATCGAAACTTTCTGCACAGGACATGAATTTAAAACAGACCAACTATACAAAATGTACACACAAGTCATCAACAGATAAGTCAAATGGTTTTACCAGATCTGTAGAAAATCGAGAACAAGTTCATAATTCAATGAGAGAATTTCAAGGCAAGTGCTCGCAATATCCGGAAGAAAATGAAGATTCCGAAAGTCTAGATCAAGATAATAGTAATCGCAGTAATGCACAAGACGACGATGCTCTTAATCAGGGAGAAAATAATAGGTATAAATCATGTTCTTGCGCACGTTGTCAAAACAAAAATATCAATAAGAACAATATTTCTAAAGAGGTTAGTTCAGATGAAGAAGGTGATAATGATGATTTAACAGATTATATGTATGAGGCCATTCCTGTCAAAACTCCAATGCCACCTAATAAAACTGAAAATGGATGCTCAAAGTTGGATAAAAATACTCAAACATCTGAGCATTGTTCAATTATGAATACAAAAAATAATTGCAGATTTAACAAGGAATCGAAAGAGAAAAGTTTTCCAACATGCAATCACCAAAAACTTTGTTCACATCGTAATAACAATCATAGATCATCTAATAATTGTATGTCTAATATGCCACAATTGAAACCGAAAAATACAGAATACATACCATGTAGAAACAAGTCAATGAGCGAATATCAAGGAAATCGAGAACAACATTGCAATTCAATGAGAGAAAATTATAATAAAGGCTCACAATATCCAGAAAGAATTGAGGAATGTGAAAGTTCGTCTCACATTTTTAATAACCATAGCAATCCAAAATATTGCAATACTCCGAAACAGGGAGAAAATAACAAACCTGGTTCTTGTCGTTGCGCGCATTGTCAACATTTAACAGATGCCAGTAGGCAGAATAAAATTTCTACGGAATTTAGTTCTGATGACGATTATGAGGATGATGATTCTTCAGATTACGGATGTAATGTTAAACACTTAGCACCTGTTAAAACTAATGAATGCCCAACTTCAAATAGAAATACACACAAATGTACGCACAGCATTAGTGTCAGCAGAGGACACAATTGCGTGACTAACAAGAGAGTTTCATCATGTACACAGGATACAGATTGGAAAAAAGAAAACAATCAAGTAGATCAAGCAAAATTGTATAATAAAAGTGATTGCACTAAAGAAATAGATTCTGATATTTTCGACCCGAATGCAAAATTTAAAATACAAGTTATAGACGCATCTGAAACACAAAACTCGCAACCAAAACCACAGACTCTAAAAAATGCAGGAAACAATTCTTGTTCGACTAAACAATCTTCAAAAGATTGTTCTTGCAGTAAAACTAAACAAATTTACATTTTAAAAAAAATCAAAAAAATTGATGATTCAACATGCAATGTAGATAGTTCTGAACCAAACGCAAACGGATCATCTACAAGAGATCAATCTCGAAATGATCAGAGTCAAAAAGAAACATCAAACGCTGAACCCAACCAAACACAAGATGGCGAAGAAGACGATGGAGAAACTAAATATAAACGTAGTTTTGTAGTGAAACACAATTCTCTACAATCCGAACCGAGGAAAAGCGAAACGAAACCGAAGTCCCCACGCCCAAGCTTATTGAACCGTTTACGTAATAGCAAGGGAAATACAAATTCAGATGCTGAAGACAACAAATAGTGATGCGGAAAAAAAGCAACGCTCTGCAAATAGTTAAAATTGCGAAAAGCGTTTATCCCTGGATTTATGCAACAGACAGGTTTCAGAAAAACCCACGTTAATAAAAAATATGCACCGAACCATAAATCGTATGCTTTAATATATATTATGTTATATCAACACATTTACAGAATATTTTGACAAAAGAAAACAGAACCTGAAAAATCTAAAAATGGTCCAATTACAAAATTAAAGAGAAATATATTCAAAATTATTGAAATTAATTCATATGTTTGACTTAATTTAGTGTGAAATAAGATAGTGAAAATAAGAGTTTGGTTCTGGATTTTAATCAAATATTTATAAACCTACTTGTATTGATTCAAACATTTTCCAATAACTCCATGACACCGGAAAAAACTTTTAGTATTTTAATTCTGTTGTATTAAATATTTCCACAATTTACAGCATATTAGTTTTGTTGTTATAACAATTGAAAAAAATTTTAAGTAGTCCTAGTCCTAGAAAGATGTTCCTAATTATAGAAGTATGATGTTTTAGTCGGTAAGAGTCCGGCACACCGCCCGCCATCATGAGTTTCACACAACTCACTACAAAAAAAAAAAAATAATAAATCTAGTAGGCTGTTTGTCATGAATATCAGCCTCTCTTAAGTGCCCAATATTTCTCTTCCTATTGATGCATCGACTTAGATGTTTAAGTCACTGATTATGATTACTTATCAACTTTAATTCCAAAAAATCAATAATCCTTTTTTCTCTCGAATAATCGGTTAGCTATGTTTTAAAAGTCATTCGCATAATTTTATACAATAATTTAATATACGTTTCAGTTATTTTTTTTCGAATTTTGAATTTGAATCTACTTCAAAATATGTAGGTTTCTAAATTAATAGTTTCGATATATTCACAATAGTTAAGCAGAATAGCACCACACACAACATCACTGCGTGCAATTTCTGTTACGTATTGCATAAAATTTACAGAAAATAGTACCACCTCAAAGTAAGCGATTTTATGTTATCATGTCGGAACATCACTGTGCACACTGTTCTAGAAATCGTCAGGAGAGTTACTATGATTGTATAAGCGAGAATGATATAAGATCACGCGATTCTATACGTAATAGCCATCAAAGATCTGCTAATATATTACAAAATCTAGGTGATCTTAGAGAGTTTTATAAACAACTACAGAATTTTGCAGACATCACGCATGAAATCTTCAAGAAATCCTCTGAAACCAAACACCATATTTCCCCGTCATCAGTTAGTATGCATCGAAGAGAAAGCAATACATCTTATTGTAGCAATCACAATTGTCAGTATAGGCAAAAATATTCAGCAGACCAAAGACAGTCATCGCAAATATACAACGACTCAGAGAAAAATCAGTCATCCGGCAGTCACCAGGAACTTAATTCAAAAGGATATAATACGTATTGTAGGTCAGCTTCTGGTTGGTTACCTAATAGAACACAATTTCCAAAAAAAAAAAGAAAATATTCACTATATATGGAATTGGAAAATACGGATTATACAAAATGTGAGTCAGGAACGTGTAAGTTAAGTCAAAAAACAGAACACCAAGGAACTCATGGAACTTGCAGTTGTACAAGGGAACATCATGATAATGATTTAAAACAAGAGGAATGTTTAAGTCAAGGTAATATTAAGCACAATAATTCAAAACGACATGACACTCCTAATCATAAAAAAAATAACTATGTGGTCAATAATAAAAGTCCCATTTCTACGGGAATAGATTTCGGTGACAAATGCGAAGGACATGACACTCCTAATCATAAAAAAAATAACTATGTGGTCAATAATAAAAGTCCCATTTCTACGGGAATAGATTTCGGTGACAAATGCGAAGGACATAATTATTTAGGTAGGAAATATGCTGGCATGTGTTCCCGAGCTGTTTTCCCAATTAATCATCAGACTAATAGTGGTTGTTCAACTACATATAAAAATACCCAAACACATATGCGAGATGCAAATGTAAGCACTGAACACAATTGCATGGTTAACAAAGAAGTTCAAACACATATCCAGGACACATGTTTAAACAAAGAAAATAATGGCATGATTAATAAGGAAGTTCAAACAGAATTCTTCAAAAAAAGCGATACGTATATTAATAAAAATGCACATACATTTCGCTCTGCACCAAATTTACGGGATTCAAGAATATCGTCTGTAGTACAAAATTCTAAACCAAACGTATTATATACAGAAAAACTCAACAACAAGAAACTTGAACTAATATACTTCTCACAGATCTCAGAAAAATTTATCAAACCCTCATTGCAACAGAATAATTCCATTTTAAACATTAAAACAATATCTAAGCTAGACCAAAATAAAGAATCTGATCATAAAGCTGAAATTGAAACCGAAAGAAAAATTGAGCAGGCAACTCCACTTCGTGATGGAATTAAAAAAGAATCTTCCAATATTGAACATTATCAATTTACAAACAAAGGGAAAACACACTCTAAAAATGAAAATAAACAATACGAAATTGATAAGAAGACCGCTTCACCATCACTTCCTGAAAGAGATTATACCAAGAAGTTGCGCGACAGTAATCAATATCATGTACGAAGTCATGAAATACCAAGCCCTGTTGCTCGTACTTTTGTAGATAAAAGCATATCAAAAGCACTGAGTCAGAAAATTACAGTAAAATCTTCTGAAGATCAAAGTACACATATTATAAATAACAAATCAACAGATCAAAAACTTAAACCTTCTTGTAGTTCTATAGAAATAAGTAAACCGGTCGAAACTAAAAACGACATTAGTGCAGCAAGTTTAATAGATTTTCAAAGTACAAAAGAATATAATCTAAAAAAACTAAAAAACAAGGAAAAATCATGTCACACGACTGAAAGTATTCACTGTTTTTTGCAAAATAAGCAACAATACAAAGTTGCTAACGATACTAAAAACCCGATGATATCTATAACTGGAAGTAAAAAGGAATGCGTTGATATCGAACAAAATCATATTAGAAGTCAAGAATCAATAGAATCTGACTCGGAGTATATTTGTAGGATTGGAGAAAAAAGAAAACCAAAATCATTGGATTGGAGAAGTGCAGAAGAGAATTCCGAAGCTGAAAATAGTTCAAACATAAATAAGAAATATACTACTTATAAACTCGAAAATGAATGTATTGATATCGAACAAAATCATATTAGAAGTCAAGAATCAATAGAATCTGACTCGGAGTATATTTGTAGAATTGGAGAAAAAAGCAAATCAAACTCATTAGATTGGAGAAGTGCAGAAGGGAATTCCGAAGCTGAAAATAATTCAAACATGAATAAGAAATATACTACTTATAAACTCGAAAATAAATGTGTTGATATCGAACAAAATCATATTAGAAGTCAAGAGTCAACAGAATATGACTCGGAGTATATTTATAGGATTGGAGAAAAAAGTAAACCAAAATCATTGGATTGGAGAAGTGCAGAAGAGAATTCCGAAACTGAAAATAGTTCAAACATAAATAAGAAATATACTACTTATAAACCCAAAAATACTTGTTATTCTATGGACACAATTCATCCAATTGAAACTGAGGAAAAAATTCAAGCAAAACCCCGTGGTGAAAAAAAAACAAAAGAATTTTCTAGTATTGAACATACACAACTGAGAAATAAGGATGAATCACATCACAGGACTAAAAATATTCGTAATTCTGTACAAAATAGTCTACAACACAAATTTGCTAAGGATGCTACAAGACCAGTACCATTTGAGAGTGAAAGTAAAAAGGAAAAAAGAAAATTACTTAGAAGAAGTGCAGAAGAGTATTCCGGAGCCGAAAATAATCCAAGCATTTATAAGTTATCAACTAATCGAAGATCTAAAAATGTGCCTTATTCTATGGAAACAATTGATTCAATTGAAACTGAAAAGAAAATGCTAGCAAAACCACTTGAAGGAAGAAGGACAAAGAAATTTTCCAATATAAATTGTAATCAAGAGAAAAATAAGGAAAAATCACACCACAGCACTAAAAATATTCGAAGTTCTATACAAAATAACCAACAATACAAATTTGCTAGAAATGCTAAAAGATCAGTACCATTTCCGAGTGCAAATGAACGTGAATGTATTGATATCGAAAATCATGTTGAAAGTCAAGAATCAACAGAATATTTATCGAAGTGTACCCATAGGTTTAAAGAAAAAAACAGACCAAAACCACTTGTCAGGAGAAGTGCAGGAGAGTGTTCAGATGTTAAAGGTCATCCAATTATAAATAAAACAACTCATCAAAAACTTAAAACTAGTCATTATACTATAAAATCAGGAAAACCAATCAAAACTAAAAATGAAGTTATACAAGTAAAATTACGTTGTGCAGAAAGTGTAAAAGAATTGTATAACATTGAAAGTAATCGGCATATATTTAAGAAAAAATCGCATAACAAGACTAAGAATATTAATAGTTGTGTAGATAAAGGAAAACACTTCGAGATTGTAAAGGGTACTACGAAAACACTCGATGTTGACCAATGTCATGTTAAACGTCAGGAAGTACCAGGTTGTCTTTTAAAATATTTGCCCGCCCTTGAAGAAGAAAGTATGTCTACACCGCTTGACCTGAGCCAGAGAAGTACAGTAAATCGTTTCAAAATTGAAAATGTTACAAATAACACATCCACATACCAACAACGTAATCATGCTTGTCTTTCCATAGAAACAAATAAGCCAAATGATACAGAAAAGAAAATTATTCAAGCAAAACCATTAGGTGGAAGAAACTCACAAGTACATTCTAACACTGAACGTATCCAACTGAGAAATAAGGAAGAATCACATCACAAGACTGAAAATATTCTCAGTTTTATACAAAAAAGTCAAATATACAAATTTTCTAAGGATACTACAAGAACAGTATCATCTGTTAGTGGAAGCAAAAAGGAATGTATTGATGTCGAACAAAATGATATTAGAAATCAAAAATCAACTGAAT